CCCACTGCCATCAAGTTGATTCCAACTCACAGAGACTCTGCAGAACAGAGCAAAACTGCTCCATAGGGTCTCCAAGGTTGTAAATCTTTACGAAAGCTGACTGTCACATCTTTCTCCCTCGGAGCAGCTGGTGGGTTCGAACCGCTGATCTTTCAGTTAGCAGCCGAGCACTTAACTACTGCGCCACAAGGGCTGATATACATTAAACTCTATGCAAAATATTGTTGTTGTTGTTAGGTGCTGTCCAGTCAGTTCCAACTCACAGGGACCCTATGTACAACAGAACAAAACACTACACAGTCCTGTGCCATCCAAAGTTGTTGCCTGCTATGTTTGAGCCCATGGTTGCAGCTACTGTGTCAATCCATCTCATTAAGGGTCTTCCTCTTTTTCGCTCACCCTCTACTTTACCAAGCATGACGTCCTTCTCCAGGGACTGGTTCCTGCTGATAACATGTCCAAAGTATGTGAGATGAAGTCTCGCCATCCTCGCTTCTAATACGCATTCTTGCTGTACTTCCAAGACAGCTTTGTTTGTTCTTCTGGCAGTCCATGGTATATTCAGTATTCTTCCCCAACACCATAATTCAAAGGCATCAATTCTTCTTCGGTCTCTCTTACTCATTGTCTAGATTTCGCAGGCATATGAGGCGACTGAAAATATCATGGCTTCGGTGAGGAGCACCTTAGTCCTCAAAGTGACATCTTTGCTTTTTAACACTTTAAAGAGTTCTTCTGCAGCAAATTTACCCATTGCAATATGTTGTTTGATTTCCTGACTGTTGCTTCCATGGGCGGTGATTGTGGATCCAAATAAAATAACAATTTCAATATTTTCTCCGTTTATCACAATGCTGCTTATTGGTCCAGTTGTGAGGATTTTTGTTTTAGGTTGAGGTGTAATCCATACTGAAGGCTGTGGTCTTTGCTCTTCATCAGTAAGTGCTTCAAGTCCTCTCCACTTTCAGCAAGTAAGGTTGTGTCATCTGCATACCACAGGTTGTTAACGAGTCTTTCTCCAATCACGATGCTCTATTCTTCTTCATATAGTCCAGCTTCTCAGATTATCTGCTCAGCATACAGACTGAATAAGTATGGTAAAAGCATACAACCCTGACACACATCTTTCTGATTTTAAACCTCTCTGTATCCCCTGGTTCTGTTCAAATGACTGCCTCTTGGTCTATGTACAGGTTCCTCATGAGCACAATTAAGTGCTCTGGAATTCCCATTCTTCACAATGTTATCCATAATTTGTTATGATCCACACAGTCAAATGCCTTTGCATAGTCAATAAAAACACAGGTAAACAGCTTTCTGGTATTCTCTGCTTTCAGCCAAGATCCATCTGACATCAGCAATGATATCCCTCGTTTCACATCCTCTTCTGAATCCAGCTTCAATTTTTGGCAGTTCCCTGTCGATGTACTTCCGCATAATTTTACTTGCATGTGATATTAATGATACTGTTTATTTCTGCATTCCACTGGATCACCTTTCTATATTTAATGCAAAATATAAATACTAAATATTATCTTAAGTACACATGGAATGTTTACACAATTACCCACAAGCTAGCCAACAAAAGTGAAATCTTACAAACCATATTCCTAATCATGTTGTTGTTGTAAGGTGCCATTGAGTGGATTTCAACTCACAGCAACCCCACAAGACAGAGAAGAACTGCCCCATAGGGTTTTCTAGGCTGTAATCTTTACAGGAGCAAATCACCAGGTCTTTTTCCTATGGAGCTGCTGGGTAGTTTCGAACTGCCAGTCTTTCCATTAGCAGTGGAGCACTTAACTGTTGCACCACCACGGCTCCTTATTTCTAATCATGATTTCTAATCATAATGCAATAAAATTAAAAGTAACAAAATACAGCAGAAAAGCAAATGTATTTAGAAATTTTAAAAAAAGACTTTCAAAATTACTCATGAATCAAAGAAGAAATTTATAATAGAAAGTATGCATGAACAAGGAAATAACTGAGTTTAATGGAAGACAGAAATCAAGGAAAAAGTAAACAGAAACAACAAAATTGGTTTTTTGAAAGAGCTAATAAAATAGATAAATCCCTGTGAAGATAAACCAAAGGGGGAAAAAGAGAGAAAAGATATAAACACAACAGGAATTTAAAAGGTGATACAAAGGTCCCTGGGCAGTGCAAATAGTCTGCACTTGGCTGGTAACCGAAAGGTTGGTGGTTCAAAGCTACCCAACAGCACCATGGAAGAAAAGGCCTGTCAGTCTGCTTCCGTAAAGATTATTGTTGTTGTTAGGTGCTGTCGAGTAGATGCCAACTCATGGCAACTCCATGTGTGACCTTTTGAAAGCAGATCACCAGGCCTATCTACTGAGATGCCTCTGGTTGGGTTCAAATTGCCAACCTTTTGGCTAGTAGTCAAGCACTTAACCATTCGCACCTCCCGGGGACTCCTTCCATAAAGATTACAGTCAAGAAAACCCTATGAAGCAGTTCTATTCTGTTACACAGGGGGTCGCCATGAGTCGGAATCTACTCCTTGGCACAAGACAACAACAGTTATGTATCAATTCAGATGTTAAAACATATATAAATAAATAAAAAGGTAATGCTACTACAGATAATTAGAGATGAGGAAAAAAACACAAGAGAATATAATGGACAATGCTATGTGAATAACTTTGAAAACATACGCAGTGAATAATTTTCTAGAAAAGTAAAAATTACCACAATTAACGTAAGAAGAAATGGAAAATGGAATTAACCTGTAATCCATAAAGAGATGGCATCAGCGAACCAGTCTCCCTCTGCAGAGGGCATGAGCCCAGACAGTTTTACCGGCCACTTTTAGAAAGCTTCAAGGCCCAGAGAGCCCTTAGTTCATATAAACTAATCCAGGGAATAGAAAAAAAGAGAAGGTGGCCTAATTCATTTCTGTGCAACCTTATTACTGAAATCAGACCAGGACAACACAAAAAACTAAATTCATAGACCAATTTCACCTATGAATGCAGACGGGAGAATCCTAATCAAAGTTTTAACAAACTGTATCTTGCAGTGTTAAAAAAATAAATAAATCAGTAGTCATGTAGGGATTAATCCTCAGAATTCAGGAATGATTCAATATCAGAAATCCCACTAACATAGGACCCCACATTATAGACTGAAGAAGAAAAACCATTCAATGATCACAGATGCAGAGAATACATTTAGTAAAACCCAACAGTCACTTGCAATTCAAAAAGAATCACATGTGCAAAGATCTGGAGCAAACCCAGCAAAACGTTAACAGTATGTTAAATCGGGTGTGGGTTCACAGGTGACTGATACAGTCTGTACTTTTCCGTATTTTTGCAATGATTCACTGGGGATGGAAATAGGACTGTTTTTAGGCCCTCACAACCAAAGGTCTGGGAAACACAGGATAAGCGAGCGGCTGCTAAAGGGTCCTTCCTCTTCCCAGCTGGGAGGCAGGGTCTGCCTGGTATTCATGCATCAGAAACCGTACTCAAGTCCCCGTAACCGCCCTGCAGCCAGGCACTGAGATTGGGGACTTTCAATCTACCTGCACCTAAGCACAGAGGAGGCCAGATGCCAGAGCTGCCCTAAAATCCCAGCTCCTACCTCCTCCACGCCCGCCTCAACGCACGGCACAGCAGGAGAGAACGGCAAGCCAGAGTGAAGCCCCAGGCCCCACCTATGGGCCCTCTTCCCACCTCCCTAACGCCCCTGAAGAGCTAACTCCCAGAAGACAGGGGCCTCCACCAAGGTGTTCAGGCGCAGCCATGTTCCCCCGCAGACCAGGTGGTTCGTCCCTCTCAGATACCAGGGCAGCCACCTGTGGCCTGGTCATCCAGTCCCTCTGGGACATCATTCAAGGTCTCACTCTGACTTCCCACCAAGCCCCACAGAAGCAGAGCTGGGGAGTCTGTGCAGGAGGTACCCTGAGGCAGGCTCTTCTCTGTGAACAAGGAGGTGATAATGTCACCCCATTTCCTCTCCAGGACCGTGGGGAGAACACAACATGCACACATGGCAATGGCATGTTTTATAAAGAGATTATTTCATACTTACAAAGAATGGAATATAGATGTGAGGTACAAACAGTAATTAAGCAAACACCTCAGCACTGTGCCATGACCCAGGAACCAGGACACAGCCAACACCACGCGGACCTGTACCCTCCCAAGAGCTGGCCCCTGCCCTCACTGCCAATGTGACTGCCAGCTTCAACGCTAGGCTCATCATCCCTTGCTTGCCCTTAAGCATCACCACATCTGTCTGCATCCTGAGTGGCAGGCTTAGCTCTGAACTTTATGTAAGTGCGTATCTACAAAATCATATGTGGTGCTTCTCAGGAAGCTTTTGCTCAATGTCACTTTGAAAGCACACAACCATCGCTCACTCATCCCACTATTCGGGGTCCCCTGTACAGAGACTGCCCTTCTCCAGCACCAGACTTGGGCGCTTCCAAGGTTGGCTCTCAGGAACACGTCTACTGCCCACCACAGGAAGATGCCCACTGGGACGCACCAAGAGGGGACCGCGGGTCACAGAACAGGCCCGCCTAAAACTTCGTGCATCCAATAGTCAGGCAGTTTTCCAAAGCCCCACCAGAAGGACATAAGGGTCGAAACAGTGTCATCTATGAACACAGCTTTGCAGAGTGGAAGCATGCTGCCCTTGCTCAAACCTGGAGCTGCGCTGCATACTATCCTACAGAATTAGGTTAGTTTTAATGCAGGAATTAGGGGAAGTGAGGGGGAGAGGGATGAACGAGGGCTTGTCCACTGTTCGGTCTCACTGCCCCTCTGGAGGAATTTCCCCAGCACAGCGCTTCCAGGTGATGAGGAAAGCAGTGGGAACGGCCATCAGAGACTGAAGGGCAGCTCGGCCCAGGCACAGAGCCGAGTCCGGGCATCAGGGAGGCAGCCCTCTGACTCAGCCGCTGGGGGAGGCACACCCTACTGGGGGCTTGCTGCTTAAGAGGTGGTCTCGTGACTGGGCCTACTTACAGTTGCGCCTGCTTCTCTGCGAGCTCTCTGGTCTTCTCCTACGATTACACAGAGAGAAAAAGCAAGCATGAGAAAAGCAGGACAACCCAGGGACATGTTCAGTAGGGGCCCCACCAAATGCACCAGCTACAAGAAGCGTGGCCCTGCTGCTCCGGCACTCTGAAAATGTTTATTCCAGCCACGTCGGAAAGAACATGTTTCCATCTGAGTTGGAGATCTTCCATTCCATCACTGAGTATGACGGACACACTTCCTAGAGCAGGAACATTCCACAACCTTCTATCTTATATGACAGCTGGCCGTTTAAAATAGCAAACACAGGCCAAACAGTTCACAAGTACAAGAATGACGATCCTGCTAACATTCTTACTGTCAAGCTTAACAGGGCCATTCTGGAATGTCAGCCCCAGTAGTAATAAGTAGATGAATACATGCTTGAATACTTACACACATATTTTAACTCTCACAGGAATTGGGGTTTGGCCAGCAGTCTCAGCACTGTCACTTAATCAAGAAGTTACTCTTTTGGAGCACACTGTTACCTGGCTAAACACGGCCCTGTGCTGCGTCTGTGAGTTGTTCCTGTAAGAGGCACATGCCTGCCTACGTGTCCATGAGAGATGTGAGGACAGGGAAGTGGAGACGACGAGCTGTTAAAGCCCAGGAAACAAATGAACAAATGAAGCTTACAGGGGACATGGGGGGGCACAGGTCAGTGTTGAGGTGTACTCACACCAGGGCAGGGGGCCCAGCGGGCGGGGGGCACAGAGGGCATGGGTGCACAGCGGGCATGGGGGCAGAGCGGGCATGGTGCAGAGTGGGTGTAGGGCACAGCAGGCATGGGGGCACAGCGGGCATGGGAGCATAGTAGGCATGGGAGCACAGTGGGCATGGGAGCACAGTAGGCATGGGTGACATTAGGCATGGGAGTACAGTGGACATGGGAGCACAGGGGGCATGGGGGCACAGTGGACATGGGGGAGCACACATCAGAGTTGAGGCATTCTAATGCCAGGGCATGGAGGTTGCACAGCAGGACCCAGACTCCCGTCTTTACTAGGTCCTTCACCTCTGTGGGAAGGAGCCCTAGTGGCACAGTGGTTAAGCGGCTTGGCTGATAACCAAAAGGTTGGTGGTTCAAACCCACCAGCCACTCTGTGGGAGAAAGATGTAGCTAGCAGTCAGCTGCCATAAAGATTACCAAAAAACCAAACCTGTTGCCGTCGAGTCGATTCCAACCCATAGACACCCTACAGGACACAGGAGAATTGCCCCAAAGGGTTTCCAAGCAGCAGCTGGTGGAACTGAACTGCCAACCGTTTGGTTACAGCTAAGCTCTTAACCACTGCACCACCAGGGTTCCTTCCTTGGAAACCCTATGTGGCAGTTCTACTCTGTTCTATAGAATCAACTCAATAGCAATGGGTAACAGGTAGTCACCCCTGTAAGCCTCAGTTTGCATGTCTGTAACGTGGGGTGAGGCCCACCCTGCCTTTCCCCTCATGGCGTATGTGGGACAGATGGGCAGGGGGAAGAGTGGGCGGCTACATGTCCTGGCGCTGGGGCTGAGGAAACCCTGTTCTCCAGAACTGCTTCCAGTGTGAAAGCCGACGAGGCCTGGGCCCTGCTGCCATGCTAACAACAGGTTCTGGAGTGGGAGAGAACAGAGGTTGGTGGCAGCTCATCCCTATTCCAGCAAAAAGCACCAGCAGCAGCCCAGGGGTGGGTTCCAGGACTCCTGCGGCGCTGAGTGGATGGCTGCAGGGACAGCAGAGCCTGTGGACAGCACCCAATGGCCACCCAGGCCTTGCAGTGCAGCACCCCCTGCATCTCAGCTCGAGAATCGGGGAAGAAGAGCATGGGCTCCCAGCAGACACCAAAACTAAAGAAGTCACTGCTGACCCCGGGTGCAGTGCTGCAGCAGACCCCTGGGCCCCCTGACCTCCAGCGTCCCATTTCCCTGGCAGGGCGGGCTGGTACAGACACCTACGGTCTGGCCCCTGGATCAGCCTCTCGGTTCTTCAACAACCTTAGAGGAGGTAGGAAGTTGGGGAGATGTTGCTTCCCTCACCAGGGCAGGGCACCAGCATAGGCCCTGGCTCATTACCCCCTGCCGACAGTGGACATGGGCCCCCCCATGACTGACCCAGACCATGTCACGGATGGCCCCAGCTATCTTCAGCAGGAGCTGGCCAAAGGCACTGGGCCCGAAGTGGGTGGCAGCATGCTGGATGCAGAGGCACAGCAGGAAGGCGGGCGCCAGCTTGTGGTCATCGCCCGAGGGCTCCACCAGCGTCAGGATCCGCTGCAGGAGCACGTCCTCCTGTGAGGGTTCAAAGGCCAAGTGCAGCCGCCGCCGGGTGGGCTCGGGGCTTGGCCGTGGGGGGCAGGTGGCACTGGAAGCCTCAAGTGCAGCCCCACACAGGCGGCAGCTCCATGGCGCAGCATGGAGGCGAGCCAGGGCCTGGGCAGGCAGTGGCTGAGCCTGCAGCGGGTCTTTGAACAGCAGCAGGTAGTAGAGGCCCAGGGACAGCAGGTCACCGTGGCGCAGCTCCACAGGGCGGCTCCCTGCCTCGGTGAAGTTCACGGCCACAGGTGCACCTTCGATGGGCTCCAGCACCAGTGTGCCCCCGCCTGGGCGGCGCCGGTGCTGGCGGATGGTGCAGTGCAGGGGCAGGATGTCGGGGGCCGCCAGGCTGATGTTGGGCCTGCTGGCGGGCGTGCGCTGGCCCACTGTGTGCAGGTCCTGGTTCAGCACATACACCAGGCTGTCCTGGAAGGAAGCACAGAGCTCAGGGCCAGCACCCTGGGCCATGGACAGAGGGGCACAGCATAGAGGGTGGCCCACATCTGGTCACTGACCCATGTAGCCTAGATGGCTGTCCCCAGGCTCTCGATGCCTGGGCACTCCCACAGGAGAGCCCCAGGCTGACCAATCCCTGACCCTGCCCTGCACTGGGCACCCACCCCACCATCCCCGGGGAGGCAGTTCCCAGAGGAGCCCTAGGGCATGCTTGAGACCAGGGACAAGCCCAGCTTTGAGATGCAAGAGGCCAGGGAAGAACCACCCAGAACAGAAACTGGCTTCTCAGGCCCCAGGCCACTGACACCAACTTCCCTGCTTATCCCAGCACTAGATGTATGTGTGAGGCCTGGTCTTCACTTTCCCAGCCTGGACAGATATGGCTCTGGAAGGCAAGGGAAGGGGGCGCCCCCGCCCCCTTACAGAGGACCTTCTTGACACAGTGCAGTTCCCAGCCCATTCCAATGGCCTCCTCTGAACAAGAGGAGTCGGCAGCTGGGTGACTAAGCCAAGGCTCTGCACTCTGAGAACACATCCCTCCTCTATCCCCCCGCAGTTCCCAGGGCCCTGGGCAGGTTCCACTCCTCCCACTCATCCCCCTGCAGCCCTGGGCAGGTTCTACTCCTCCCCCCACCCCCACCCCTGCGTCAGCTCCCCAGGGTCCTGGGCAGGTCCTATTCCTCTCCACCCCAAGCCGTCCCCTCCCCCGGGTCCTGGCAGGTCCCGCTCTCCCCCCTCAGCCCCCGTGGGTTTAGGCAGGCTCTGCTCCTCCCTGGCTCAGTCCCCTGGGGTCCGGGCACGGGAGGCCTCACTCACGTGCTGCTGGCTGTAGCCCTGCAGGAGGAGCAGGTGAGGTGACTGGTAGAGCAAGTGGCGCATGGCACCCTCCTCGGCCGGGCCCCCCGCGTCCCGGGTCAGCTCCTCGGGGCCAGGGCCAGCCGGCAGGGTGGCGTAGTGTGGCCTGCTGGCGTCCGAGGGCGGGCCAGCTGTGCTCAGACTGGTTTCACTAATGCTACGGCGCAGGCGGGGCGGCGAGAGCTGTTGGGAGCCTGTGGCTGTGCCCTTGGCCCGGATCCGCTGGAGCCTCCTTGCCTGGGCGTTGATCCCTGGAACAGGGTAGAGCAGGGCACTGAGCAGAGACCACCCAGGCCTAGTGGACAGCTCCCATTATGTTCTGGACTTCAATCTTGGCAAACCGACTTCTTCCTCCCCACCCTGCCACCAGCTCGCTGTCTCTCAAGGTGTCCCCAAGAAACCGAAGAACTCTGCCCACTGACCTTCTCCATTCTCCACTCCAGGCCCGGGTGGTCCTTGGTGTCCCGTGGCCCGCTTTAAAGTGTGTCCAGGAGCAGTCACTGAAGGGTTCAGAAAGGGCTCACCCTACCCCTCAGCCACTAGAACTGATGACACATGGCCCCGATCTGCCTTCAGGACATCAAGCCCGAGCACACCTTGCCCACCACAGCACTGACTGAGCTGGGTCCGCACCGGGCCCGTGTGGCGCTGCAACAGTCTGAAACTCCCTGGAATCCACCTGTCCGATCCTCCCTTCTTCCCACCTGGGCACCAAGAGAAACCTCACGGGGGGGAGAGGGGGCCAGCTGTGATTAGATGAGATCACAGGTGGGAAGGCCAGCAACCACCCGGGCTGTGAAGGGCAGAACCTCTCACTGTCCTCCTCCATCCCCCAAGGAGGAAGTAGGCCCAGAGGGATGAGCAGCCTCTCCCTTCCATGCTGCCTCTCCGACACCCCAGGTCAAAGCACATAAGCACATACATGCACGCACGCACGCATAGGCACACGCACAAACACGCTCCAGAAATGCCACACTGCCCATAAAAGACTTATAGTCTTACAAGAAGCAGTTTTCTAAGCTAGGCCTGGGACGCTGACCGCGGTGCTAGAACCGTCCTCCCCAGCCCCTCCCTGTTGAGTTCCCTCCGCCACAGCCTTTGTGGGCGCTGGGACCCATCCCCATTGAAGCCCCGGCCTCCCCTGGCCATTCCCAGCACCACCGACAGAGGCCCGGCCGCCGGCAAGCTGGGCGGGGTGGCCTTTCTGGGCTGGGGTTTGGGGATGGGAGGCGGCGGCGAAGAGGGGGTGTCCAGAGGCGGCGCCTCCACAGAGCGCAGACCGAGGGCTGCAAAACCGGCCGCAGCAAGGGTCCCCACCGCCTTCGCAACACCAGAGCCAGCAGGTGGGGGCGAGCGGGCGGGCAGGTGCCGGTGGGGGGCACGCGGGGAGGGGGAGACAGGTGAGGGCGGAGGGCTGGCAGGTGGCGGGGGCGGGGCGGGGGAAGCCAGCCTGGCACCCCGCGGCCGTGGCTCCTCCCCCGCTCAAGATGCGAGCTCAGCGGCGGCATCCGCACAGCCACAGGTACTTCCCGCTACGACTCACCGCGCAGAGCTGCACTGAAGGCAAAACACCAAAAGACAAAATCCAGTCCAAGCGTGTTCTAACTCGGGGCAGGGCTGCGGAGCTGGCGCCGCAACGTGACCTCCCAGACGCCGGGCGGGGGACAGAGCGCAGGTCATCTTCCTCTTAGAATCTCAGGCTCCCAAAGTTCCCTGACGAAGCCTGGGCCCGCTCCTGGGGGCTGCAGCGCCCCCTTCCCGGGCAGCCCCATCTGCTGCTGCCCACTTGGGGCCGCCGGCTACCCAGAGTCCAGCTGGGTCGGTTCTGGAGTGTGGCGGGGCCCAGAGAGCTGGCGATCGTCCCAAGCGCAGGCAGGGCTCAAAGGCACCAGTTGCAGCCACCACTGCCACCGCTGGGACTGCCTGTGCCATCCAATCATGCGGAGCACATCCCCTCCCCAGCTTCCCAGCAGGACCCTTGCACGTGTACACATGGAGTGACACAGGATGGCCACCAAACTGCCACTTGCATGAGCAAAGCACAAAAAACTACCCAGTCTGCCTACTCCTGGAGCCAGAGCAGGCACCTTCCCAACAGGATGGATACAGCCAGGGAAAACCAAGAGCCATACGTGTACATGGTGGTGAAAGGAGAAAGCAAGGTACAGAATAATATATATGGTATGATTCCGGTTGTTGCATTTTTTTAAAAGCAAGTAAAGCACCACTATTCCACCTGACTTGTATACATGTGCATGTAAAGCTCTTTTTAAGGAGCCCTGATTGCACAATGGTTAAGCACTGGTTGCTAACCAAAAGGAGTTCGAACCAACCAGCTGCTCCTCAGGAGAAATAACTGGTGATCTGCTTCCGTAAAGATTACAGCCTTGGAACCCCGTGGGGCAGTTCTACTCTTGTTACGTGGGGTCACCATGAGTCGGCACAAAACATCAAATAAGCAAAGTACTTTTTTAAAAGGCTGTCACTTATGGGGTGGAGGGGAACGGCATGGGATGGTGGCCAAAACAGACTTCAACTTAATGTGATGTTTTACTTATTTTATTAAGAAAACTCCAAGTAAATATGAGGGAATGTTTTCACCTGTCAATACAGGGAGGTAGGCACCCAGGTATTAGTTACATTCTTCTTCATACTCTTTTTTATTTTTGAAATTTTTTCCTAAAACAAAAATAAAATTTCCAAAGCCCTCTCATTTGCCTATGACTTTGCAGCACTGAGTTTCGGTCTGGGAGGTTGTGGGGTGGAAAAATTGGAGAGGCTGTGGTTTCCTTGGAACCCGAGCAGATGGTAGGGGGTGAGGCAGAGTCGTGGCTGAGGCACTAGAGATGGCCCCTGCCCTGCAGCTGGGTGCAGGTGGGTCAGTGGGGCTGCCTTGAGGGCAGCAGAGCTCTAACGGGCCCTGCGGTCTAGAGTTCTTGTAGAGGTGGCTACGGCTACTCCATGCTGCCTCCAATTTTATCCCAGCTTCTGACTCATCCACGCACAGAGGCTGTGCAAAACCAGGGTGAATGTGATAGTTAAGATTGTCTGTCAACTTGACTGGACCATGATTCTCAGTGTTTTGGCAGTTGTATAATGTTGTGATCACTTCCCTGTTGAGATTCAATACATGATCACCCCCATGATGGGATCTGCTGTGAGTAGCCAATCAGTTGAGATGGAGTTTCTTGGGTGTGTGGCCTGCATCAACCATAACCAGATATTCCGGCAAGGCTTGAGGGATTTTTACTCATGCTGCAGCTGGCCCATTTGTCTGACCTCTGGTTCTTAGGACGTGAGCTAGCAGCTTACCTGCGGTCTCACCTGCCAATCTTGGGATTCATCGATCTTCGCAGCCTGTGAGCAAGAGCCCTGCTCTCTGCCCTGCCAATCTTGGGTTCACCAGCCCCTGCGGCTATGTGAATTGAGAGAAGCCTCTATCCTGACCCACAGACTTGGGACATTCCAGTCTCTACAACTGCATAAGCCATTTTTGATATATATATATATATATATATATATATATATATATATTTATACTCTTTACTGGTTTTGCTTCTCTAGAGAACCAAGCCTAAGACAGCAGGGCTGTCCTCACTCTGAACAGAAAGCTCTTGGGTGGAGGATGGTGCAGGTGGGACACGTAGGGGAGAGTCACTCCCACAATTAACCCTAGAAACCTTCAAAAAGGTCATGCGGCCAGGTCAGAGTTTGGACATCCCTGAGGCTCTAGGCTCTGTGTCCCACTAGACCTGCAGCTTCAATGAGGCGGAGGCAGGGAGGCGCTTGCAGGGGAAGGGGCTCACTTGTTCAGGGGTCTTAGAGAGAGGCAGTCTTTGCCAGGAACAAGGTGACTGCAGGGGTACCCACACACCAATCTGGACAGTTCGTCAACAGGGTAAAATGCAGTGATAAAGAGGTCATAGAGAATCCACTGTTTCACAGCAAATTAATTCTAAGGACATAAAACATTTTAAGAAGATAAGACAACTGTGAGAGGACCTGAAACACCACTTGCTGGCATTTTAAATTTCTCACACTGAATGAAGAGGCCCTGATGTGCATGCAACGCTCTGGTTCCACCTGCCTGCCCCTGCAACACTGCATCTTCGACCCCAGAACTGGGAAAGGGTGCCCCAAACTCTCAGAGTGTAGCTGTGACCATTCCCAGGGGTGGGCTTAAAGAGAGGAACTCTGGGCTTCATGTTCCCTGGAAGCTACCTCTAGCTGGTCCTGGGCCTGCCCAGAACCCTGAGCACACTGCTCCGTCAGGGAGACTCATGGTCCCTTCTTTTCTCTGGATCAGGGGACGCTCCGGGCGAAGCAGCAATCAGGAGAGGAAGAAGTGGAAGGGGATGACACCTCTGGGCCAAGATGGTTCTCTTACACATAGCTCTCCCCCACCTTGTAAGAATTTGGGTTGAAAATGTTCTACATCCTACTTTGGTGAGTAGTATCTGGGGTCTTCAAAGCTTGTGAGCAACCATCTAAGATACTCCACTGGTCCCACCCCATCTGGAGCAAGGGAGAATGAAGAAAACCAAAGATATAAGGGAAAGATTAGTCCAAAGGATTAATGGACCACAACTACCACAGCCTCCACCAGACTAAGTCCAGCACAACTAAATGATGCCTGGCTACCGCCACCAACTGCTCTGACACGGATCACAATAGAGGGTCCTGGACAGAACTAGAGAAAAATGTAGAACAAAATTTTAACCCACAAAAAAAGACCAGACTAACTGGCCTGACAGAGACTGGTGAAAGCCCGAGAGTATAGCCCCCAGACACTCCTTTAACTCAGTACTGAAATCACTCCTGAGGTTCACCCTTCAGCCAAAGATTAGACAGACCCATAAAACAAAATGAGACTAAACGGGCACACCAGTTCAGGGGCAAGGAGGAAGAAAGCAGAAGGGGTCAGGGAAGCTGGTAATGGGGAACCCAAGGCGAGAAGGGGAGAGTGTTGACACATCATGGTGTTGGCAACCAATGTCACAAAACAATATGTGTATTAATTGTTTAATGAGAAACTAATGTGCTCTGTAAACCTTCATCTAAAGAACAATTAAAAAAAAAAAAAAAGAATTTGGGTTCAAACATACCCTGTGCAGGCAAAGAGGAAAGGACTGTGTATACAGGGGTGGCAACACTGATTGTGAAAACAGCCAGAGCTCCTGTCTGGGCTCTAGTCTGGCTTCAGAAAGCACTAGAAAGAAAAACAAGCTCTTTTCCTGAATACCACAAAGTT